GCTAAGAAAACGTATCCAACTTTGTTGCTCTTTGAACCCACTGATCCTAAAAGAAGTTTTAACTTCTTGTTTCTAGCTTCTTACGGCATTGTCAAGTGTGAGAGAAACACTTTTCACCTGTCGAGATGAGCCTTTTAGACAATGTTTGCTCGAGAGACTGACATTTTCTTCCTTAATGATCCCCCTTGAGGTTTCTTTTAGCTTCTTGTTTAAATGAAGATCAAGTTTATCAGTTTTTTCCGTCGTAATATCTTACGTTTTGTATAATTCGATATGAAAAAGTACAAGCCGTAATATTTCCATTATTCTAGTGTTTTAGTATCGAGAAGAATGTTAAAAAATTAGCACCGTTCCTACTAGGTAAGAAGAATAACATGCACAAATTAAGAATTGTCCAGTTATTTTAAATGACAATATACATGATTGGGCAAAATATAAGCACTCTATCAATAAATTCAATTAATTTTGTTTACCAATGTAACTACTAAATTGGTATTCTTCAATTTTAAAGAAAACACATACTTATATTGAACTTAGAAGGCGGTTACAAACCAAGTCAAACACAATAATAAACGATCCGGCCAAGTTTTGCAAACATTCTAGCAATGGCCCGCACCTGTTTTTTAATATGTTAGCAGCTTCCAGTACATGGGCAACACAACATATACAAAAGCATTTGACATTATTGATGCAAACACACACATCCCATTAAAAGTGTCATCCAACCCTAATCACTGTTTTCGCACATTCTACAATGATCTATCTGTTCTAAGCTTTATTGCATTTAATTTATGTTGTAGTAATGATGGAGGATGTTTAATTCCCTCTTTTTGTACTTTGATCGGTTAACTGAATGAAGTAATTTTGTTGAAAAAAAAAAAAACCCATAGATGCAATGAGTTTTTGAGCAGAAGAGATCCACTGATTAATAAGAGAGCAAAATAAGAGCGTTGAAAGTTCTCAAAAAGATGAATGTTAATATGCTTGTGCATCTTCTTCTTGATATTTGATGTTCTGGCGTCTTTAATGTTAAAACATTTATGGGCGTAAGGATGAATTATAGTATGATCTTTTTTTTTCGAAAACTCTTGAAAGGCAAAAAGTAAAATTTCCAAAAAGTAGTAAGAAAAATATTATTTTGATGTTGGACGAATTTGTACAGTCAATTTAAGAGATTCGAACAATCATAGCACTGCTTCTAAGAGATTTCAATTTCCCATGTTGGACTAATTCGTACAGTCAGTTTAAATATTAATTTGATGTTTCTTTTTTATTTATATATATATATTTGCTTCCTTGAATGATGATTACCTGTTGCCCAAAAAACAAAAAAAACGATGTCTAGCCATCTTTCGTTTTACAATCGATTGCATCGGTTAATGG